CAGAGTGAATGTAGTTCTCCAATCCCCCAAACATGAGCCAAGACTTCATGAAGGGGTAAACGAATCTCAGTTTAGTGGGAGCCACACTTGGCCTTTTATGCAAGTCCCCATGCAAAATATAATTTTAGTACTGGATCGGAGGTTATAGGAGGTGGGAACAGCAGGGGAGAGCATTCTACTCATATGTACTTTATTGCAGTAACAGCAACAGTATTGTGACATTCACTGTTTAAATGCCATGCAGAACTAAAAAAATAACATTTCTCAATGATTTTACATTTTATTCATATTAATTTATGTTTAATATACAAATATTTGATGTGACATGAAAGCCTTGTTTCTCCTGAACAAAATGATGTATGATAAGGGTGGGTGCACATAATATGAAAGAGGTGAATTACACCTGAACAGACATAAAACGCAAATTCATCTTTTTGTTTACGTTTTGTTTTGATCACAACTTGTACAATTGCCTTTGTCCTTAAGGGGTTAAAGGAGTAAATTTTAAAGACTTGTCGACATAAATAACAATGCCTCCTCCACTCTTTGCTCTGTTATTTCTAAAACATGAATAACCCTGTATTGCAATTTGCAGAGTCTAGTATTTTAGTTGTTAACCAGGATTCCGAGAGCACAATAATTTTTGGTTTGTAATGAACACCAGGTTTACAGTGCATCCAGTTTATGGAGCAAGCTACGGATGTTGCAGTGCATAAAAGAGCGGCCTTTTTTAGTGGGGAAACTAGGACTAGAATTAGCTTGGGGACCAGGGTTAGACTCCACTTTATTTGCAAGGGCAAGTTACATAAAAAGTAAAAAAGTATATACTATTGATGTGTGATATATAGCTATTTGTAGGGAGAGAGGGTATGTATTCTATAGGGTTAAGAGATTGGAAGAGTGTGCTGATCAGTGTTTGCACCTGTCATTTCAGAAGAATGAAAGTTGTGTGGGAGACTATCTATAAATGAGGAAATTAGCTTGCGTTAAGTGGGGGTAGGGTGGGAGTGGAAACAGTCTTCCAGAAGGCTACCTCTTGCAAAGGGCAGTGGGACAGCTGATGGAGCTCTTAGTTGTTTGCTGGGCTGAGTAAGTTTTAAAATCAGGGTGAGGGAGAGAAAGATATATTAGGGTCAGATGGGCTAAGGGATGGGGGAGATGCATCTGGACATTTGATTTAAGTGCCATTCAAACAAAAACAAGTAGAATTATTTAAAATTACAGAGATAAGACAGAGGTATTCATGTAGGTAAATAAAACTATTAAACAAATAACAAAAATATATGGGCCTGATTTGATTGTTTTTTGTAATCATTCTTGTTCCCACAGTCTGTACTATTCCAAGTATAAATAATCTCATAAGAAGTCCTCATTATCCCAGTTATGTGGTTGGCAAGGAAGTTCAATTCTCTTGTCAAGACAACTTTCAAAGAATTGGACAAAGAACAAGTATTTGCACCCAAGATGGGTGGAAACCGGATCTGCCAACTTGTCAAGGTCAGTGGTGCTGGTGAATGTTGATGTCTGCATAAATTAGAAGATGTATCTTGATATGTGTCTTACAATGAATAAAACATATTAAAGGAACTACATATTCACTCAAACAGTACACAGACCAGCAATTCACTATATGCTCCAAAACACAGATAGACCCTCAATGGAAAAAAAGTGTTCCCTTATAGACACTCAGAGTAAAGTAAAAACCAAAAAGGGGCTAAATGAGATGTTGAAATAAAAATGTAAAAAACACCAAATTAGGTGAATAATGAAGGTTATATACAGCCTGATAAATAGTCAAAAGATATTCTGCATAATTAAAATATATATGGTGCAGTATGTTAAATATATGTCTCAGGGTGGGGGTGGTAGAGAATTCACTAGTTAGATGTATAATCAGGCATGTCTCCCTTTCAATTAGGGTCAAGAAGTGTAGATAAATGTTCTTCAGAGGAATCTTCTTGATGGCACAGGATAGTGGAAAAAAGGAAAGAATATAGTGCAGATGGTATAAAAAATTACAAACGTATTGCACAATATTGCACTTACAAGATAGTAGATAAAATCAAGTGTATCTCCACAACCAGCATGATAACCAGACTTCAGCGAATAGCAGGAAGCTCCAGAGATAAACATGCAGGGTGGCAGATTACAAATCAAAATAAAAACAGAAAAGTAAAAGTATAATGAAAATATCCAAAAGTCCTACGCGTTTTGTCCGTTGGGACTTCTTCAGGGATCAATGTAGATGTTCTGAGAGACTCTTCCTATATACCAGTAGATATTGAGAACGATGATCGGCATCTGGACCGGCGTGCATTGCACCATAGATTACAGGTAGCCACTTCCGTGTGTAAAGGCATCACATGCGCGTGATTGACTTAATTGGTAGTGACTTGCTTTTCATGTTGGAACACATAGAACATTTCCGGGTTGTGAAATTGAACAAGCGATATATTAAGACATACTCAGGGGGTGGAAAATGTTGGAGGAAAAAAACTTATATATAATACAACAGAGTAAAGTGCAGAAAGTGAAAAAAATAGAAAGTGGAAAAAATATAAAAATAAATAATAAAAATAAAATAATAAAAATAACAATACATATAAAAAAAGATATAAAAATAATAGTAAAAATAATAATGAAAAATAAAAAAACACTAAAAATAAATAAACCTAAAAACAATATAGGAAAAATTATATATGGAAATAAAAATATATATAATATGACTGGAAATGAAAATTAATTCTCAAGGAAGTTGTCTGCATGCAGTGGCCCTGTCCTTTTAATCCTGCAATGTAAAACATGGCAGTTTTTGTTATGTTCATCTTCACTGGCTTTAACCACTTAACCCCTTAAGGACACAGCTTCAAAAGCTTGTCTTACCCTTAAGGACACAAGCCATTTTTGCATCTTTTGCTGTTTGTGTTCAAACGCAATTTGCATCTCTGTCCTTTATTGCAACAATACATATTGTATACCGTTTTTCAGAGGGCAAACAGGGTTTTAATTTTTTTGTCACATATACATAGATAAATTCTCATTAAATATAAAAATAGGCCAAAATGGAAAAAAATTGCGTGTGCATAATATATCCAGCTTAGAAAAAGTAATTCAAAATAAATTTGTTTACATGTCTTGATTTATAGAATACATAATATGTATAGGATTTCAGCTTATTTTGAAAGTTACAGGTCACAAAATACAAGGACTAAAATAAAATTTTAATGTGAAACAATTTTAGAATTTGGTATGTTTGTCTTGTAGGTTTAGTAGCCACCACATAAAACAAAATTGCCACACAAAAGTATATATTTATATAAAGTAGACATCACAGGCTATTTACCAAAGGTTAGTTTGACACTTTTTACGTAACCATTTCATCGCCAATCTCTGCTAAATATTATTAAAATTGTGTTTTTTCTTTATTTTGGCATATACACATATAACAAGGTTTTTGTAATGTGTATTTTGGAAAGGTGGTGTGTGCTATTCCTGCACCCCATATTATGTTTAGCCTAATATGCTGAATATAACAATGCCCCCATTGTATGCCTTTGGCACTTTTCTGTAAAGTTACAATGCCAAATAAGAGACAAGGCTATTTCAGTTTCTATAGTTAGAATTTTCCTAGATGGATTTGATTGGCCTATGTCTCATTTTAGGGTATTATAGCAGTGTGACTGTTCAAATAACCCCACAAAGGGCTTTTATTTGATAAAGCAGACACCCTAGGGTATCTAATATGGTGTATATTGTGCCTTAATGTGCCACCATTTTTTCACCAATTTATGTCAATGTTTGTGGTGAGGGGGGAAAAAATTGCATTTTTACATATATGTTGCATTTTTGCTGAGTATCTCTTACGCTTGATATGTACCACTGTCATAAAAATCCCCAAATTATGCTCAGTTACATCTTCTGAGTAAAACAATATGCCCAATGTATGACCTAGACACTATTTTGTGAAGTTACAGAGCTGTAAAAGAGACGTGACAAGTTCAGGTTTTTAAGTGTGAATTTTCATGGAGGGTTTTGATTAGAGTTAAGCAAACACCTGGATGTTCGGGTCCGGTGGGTTTGGACGAACTTTGAAAAAAAGTCCGGGCTTGAACTTGACCCCGAACCCCATTGAAGTCAATGGGGACCTGAACTTTTGGGCACAAAAATGCCTCTAAAACTCCTGGAAAGAGCTAGAGAGCTGCAAAAGCAAGTAAAATGGGGGTTAGAGTAGGACAAGTGCCCTGCAAAGAAATGTGGATAGGGAAATCACTTAAAATAACATAAAAAATAAAAAATACAGCTGAGCCATAAAATAGCACTAGATGGAATCTTTGATTTTAGCTTTGGAAGAACATAAATCAAAATCTAAAGCATGGCTGTCAGGAGGATCACCAGAATTATCCGTTTGAGAGAGGGTTGGAGTGCAGGGTATTCTCTTTCATTGTTCAAACTGAGCTCAACTCCTGATGCATGGAGAAAAGGCCTTCACAAGCCTCTGCTAATGTGTACATAGTTTATACTAAGTGACCCATAGGTTTAGGAGGCGGTGACCATGGCGGTGTAGGTGGAAGCGGCAGTGGAGGAGGAGAAGGTAGCCAAAACTGTGTTTATGTTTATTTATATATATATATATATATATATATATATAATGATGATTTTATTTTTTTAATTGGGGTAGCCCCCAAAATATTGGGACTTATAAAAAAAGATACATTTGCGGCCTGTGGTGCATTTCTTGCAGTCCTGATGCATGGATAAATGCTCAACTCCTGATGCATGGTGAAAAGGCCTTCACAAGCCTCTGCTAATGTGTACATAGTTTATACTAAGTGACCCATAGGTTGAGGAAGCGGTGGCCGTGGCGGCATAGGTGGAAGCAACAGTGGAGGAGAATGATGAGGTAGCCAATACTGTTTTTTTTAATGTTTTTTTTTTATTATTATTGTGGTAGCCCACAAAATATTGGGACGTACAAAAAAAGAAACATTTGTGGCCTACGGTGCATTTCTTGCAGTTCTGATGCATGGAGAAATGCTCAACTCCTGATGCATGGAGAAAAGACCTTCACAAGCCTCTTATATTGTGTACATAGTTTATACTAAGTGACTCACAGGTTGAGGAGGCGGTGGAGGAAGAGGATGAGGTAGCCAACACTGATATATATATAATGTTCCTCAGAGTAGCTGTTGACATTATAGTTGCACAGGCACTTTGTTAACTCTAGAGAACCTCGGACCAGACGCACATCCCCGTGACGGCGAATTTGCATTTGGATGTCATCCAAATCAACTTTCGATGACAGTTTCTGCGCCTACCATGGTGACCACGGGTAACGGAGAATCAGGGTTCCATTCCATACAGGGACCCTGAGAAACGGCTACCATATGCAAGGAAGGCAGCAGGCGTGCAAATGACCCACTCCTGATGCGGGAAGGTAGTGACGACAAATAACAATGCAGGACTCTTTAGAGGCCCTGTAATTGTAATGATTTCACTTCAAATCCTTTAACTCTGATCAATTGGAGGGAAGTCTGGTGCAGAGTCACTGACCCGTGCGTGCTGCAGCTGAAACTCCACTATCGTCTGCTGCTGCTCGCACAGTCTCATGAGGCGGTGAGCGAGAAGGCTGAAGTTGAAGAAGGCTGAAGACAGGCGAGCAGCAAAAGGGTGAGAATGCCAAAAGAGCGCACAGCAACTACAGTGAATGTCACATCCTGTTCCAAGTTGCGGATCAGTCTGGTAATGGCTTCTGGTATCCAGTACTCTTTTTACTGAAGCTGCATCAGCGTCCTGGTATGTGGCTGCACAAACGCTGGTGCGCAACACCAGGGGGCGTGCGGTTACCTTGCACCAGACCCTTCTAATCCATTCTACACTGTGACTCCTAACTTCAACATCAGGCATACTGGATTCCGGTCGTCCAACCTCCGCCCAGACAGCGTCTGTGCCCTGGACACCGAACTGCCCACCTGACTGTGAAACTACGAATGGATCATTAAATCTGGGACAAACCAGAACTTTGCAGTTCAGGTTCGCTCAACTCTATTATGGATCCTTTGATCGCTACATGTATCACTTGGATAACTGGTAATTCTCGAGCTAATACATGCCAACGAGCGCTAGGGGACGGCCGCTCTGCTTTTGCAACCTGCTTATGCTTTGCTGGTGCCTCTGTGCGATCAGCGCCTCTTCCTCCAAACTGCACACGTCACTCGCATGACCTTGATTCCATGTGAGGTCTAGGACCTCATCATCCTCCACATCATCTTCCACCCACTCCTCAACCCTGCCCTCCTTGCCGGTATGCACACTGCAGAAAGCCACAGCAGTTGGCACTTGTGTTTTTCCAGCATGTAAAGTCTGCAAAGAACATATGGAAATTGTTTTAGAATTGTATCCAGGCAACAGTTTTCCCTATAAACTGACCTCTCAGTTTGACTTGTGAGGGTATTGTCCCAGAATTACAATATTGTTTAAGTACCTCTTAGCTATTGATAACTGGTTTAAATATTGCAGCTTGTTATCTGGTAGTTTCTAGTGTAGAAAATATCAATCTGTTTTCTATCACTTAGATCTGTGTAACTAGTGTTGTAGATGTGAAACAATATTACAAGTGACCGATGTAGTAAATTCGAATCAAAGTCCAATTTGCAAACAAAATTCTCGCCCATCTTCTGTGGGTTATTGCATTTTTAAGATGTAGACTTATTGTATCACAGTAGCCATGCACAGGTAGATTGTCGGGCACGTTGTTTTGGTGTTTGGTTTTTAACTTTGTAGTTGTGTCTTTACACAATATAGAAACGTATATTAATGCTTCTGTATATGAAGCGATCACAATAACACTTATTTTTCACTTTTTTTTTTAAAATCAGGCTAAACAAAAATTGGTAATTAATCATATGACATCTGAAAAGCACATGAAAGGATGCTGTATGATCTTTTTTAAAAAGAACACACTACATGAAGGTCCTGAGTGTGTAGTCATGACTGTAACCAGTAAAACTTTGTTTTTACAGCCACTGGTTGGCCCATACATATTTTAAAACTTGTTTAATTTTGTTGTAGCCTGACTTGTGGATATGAAGAGCAGGCCCCAAAATGTACTATTTAGCAGATTAGCAGCAAAACAATTAGAATTTTTACAACTGCGCTGTATGCACACTATTAGACGCTTCTATTTGACTCTCAGATATGAAGTGCTCGCCTCAAAATGTACTATTTAGCAGATTAGCATCCCGAAAATAAGAATGTTTACCACTGCGCTGTAAGCACTTCTATTTGACTCTCACATATGAAGTGCACCCTACTAAAATACTATTTAGCAGTTTAGCACCCAAATAATATTACATTTTAAAACTGCAATGTGACAGCAGTATTTGACGATTCTATTTGACTCTCAGATATGAAGTGCACCCCACTAATGTACTATCCCACTAATGTACTATTTAGCACCCAAAAAAATTGACTTTTTAAAACTCTGATGTAACCGCGGTATTTGAAACTTCTATTTGACTCTCAGATATGAAGTGCACCCCACTAATGTACTAGTTTGCAGAATTATTTCCTAAGCTGTCCCTATCAGCGGCAGCATCCTCTCCCCACACTAATAAGACCTCATGTTCGTGCAGCGCTATGCGACTCCAGATTATAAATAGAGGCTGGGTCACATGCTGCACTGGCCAATCACAGCCAGGCCATTAGTAGGCATGGCTGTGATGACTTCTAAGGGCACACGCGTTAAACGCTTGTTGATCGGCTGCCCTGCAGCCTTTGAAAACACACCATTAAATCACCGAACACCGAACTCCAACCCGAACATACAGTGATATGTCCGTGTTCGGGTCCGGGGTCCAAAAACCGTAATGTTCGGTACAAACGCTCAACTCTAGTTTTGATGCGTTCATATCCCACTTTGGAGCACTTGAGCAGGCTACATATTACAACTACACCATAAAGGCATACCTTTCCTTAAAGAAGACATCCCAGGGCAATTCAAAAGGCATATTTTGAACCTTAGCGTGGGATAATTTTTCCGCTAGCTTGTACCAAGTGTAGTGGTAATAAGCATTTTTTCTACCTTTTTGACACACCAAGTGAGTTTGCGCAGTTAAGTTTGCAAACCTTATGTGTGCTACGACTGTATAATACTTCCCTGTATAATGTACCTTTGCCCAGGTATATGTGGACATTGAAGGGCACATTTGAGACACAGCCATTCAGTTTTTTTCTAACTTTGAAGTTTTTTTGTTTTTTTTTATAACTTGAAGTTTATTTGTGTTTTTGGTTGGTCATTCACATATCACAAAACAGTATTGGTGGGGTAGGGGGGTACAGAAAAGAAAGGGGGGGGGCAGGGTACAAGTTGCATGTTACAGCGATTGGTTTGTTAGCTTTATTACACCTTTCACACATTTTTGATGGGTCAAATAGCCCCTTCATGTTTTTTGTTGTCAGTTTTACCCTTTGTTTCGGTCTGTTTTAGTTTCGGGTACCAGAGTCTGTTTGGGTGAAGGTACTTTGTTGCTTACATGGCCAGAATACTATTTGCCTCGTTTCCCGGTGGTGTTTGTACCTGTCTATTAGGTTGCGGTTATACTTTTTTTTTTTTTTTCTCCTGTGTTTGCATGTTGGTGCTCGATACTTCGCTATGTATCCTTTACTGTGTGGTACGTTCAGCATTCCTCGGGCCGGGATGGGCTGAAGGGGGACGGGGGGGGCGAGGGGGCTGGTATTGTGTTTTGGTACCCATTTGTGTGTTTTTTGCCTTTTTCCCACGTCTCATGGGCTTCCCTTATGCTCGGGCGGGTTCCGAATTGTGTCGTTGCCATTAATTCGTAAGACCAGTTAAGGTCCATTTGCCTCATCAGCTCGGCTATTGATGGTGTTGTGGTTTGTTTCCATAACCTAGATATCAGCAAGTTTGCTGATATTAGTGTGTGGTATATAATGATTTTAAGGTGTTTTGGGATGTTGGTTGGTAGCATGAAAAGTAGACATTCTTGTGGTGTATCCACCCTTATACTATGCGTTATGTTGTTCAACAGTGTGGACACCGCTTCCCAAAATGGGCTTATTTTGTTACAGGACCACCAGATGTGGAGCATCGTGCCTACCTCCCCCCCACACCTCCAGCACCTGTTGCTTGTGTGTGGCCATATTGCGTGGAGTTTTGCGGGCACTAAGTACCATCGGTACATAATTTTACGCTGCAGTTCCAAATGTGATGCGCACGCTGTTAGTCCTCTGTGGACCGAGTAGGACCTCTCCCAGATTTCCCTTGAGAATATCTGACCTATTTCCCTGTGCCAGTCGTTCTTGATCTGTTCTAGTGTGTGCGTTTGTGTCAAGGTTAACTTATGGTATCCCCATGACATTGATTTCTTTAGTGGTGCTATTCCTACACATTGTTGTTCAAAAACTGTCATGGGTGTTTCATCTTCTATACCCGGTTGTTTGTTTAGTTTGCCTGTTATATATGATTTGAGCTGCAGGTAGGAAAATGTGATTGTGGTGGGCAGTGTATATTCTGTTTGTATGTCTGGTAGTGTTTTCAGTTTGCCTCTGTCAATGACCTGGTATATGTGGTGTATTCCACCTCTCTTCCAGGTGTCTCCGCGGAATGTAGGTATTTCCATGCCTATTGTTTGTATTGGTGTGGCCAAGGGCAACTTGGGGTTTGACACCAATTTGGTCCTCGTTGTGTTCCACACCCTCATCAGGGTCTGTGTGCTGGGTAGCAGGTTCTCTCGTATGGGTTTTGGACATTTCTGTAGCCATAGTACCGCCCTGAGGTCATGTTGTGGGGCCCAGTGGGACTCTATTGCTACCCACTGCGGGGCTTGGGCTGGACGGTTAATTTGGGCTATGTTGTGTAGGTAAGCTGCCCTACAATACGTTGTTAGGTTTGGCAGACCCAGCCCACCTTTGCTCACTGTTTGGTGTAGTGTTCCTGCTGCTACTCGTACCTTTTTCCCTTCCCAGACGAATGTGTTTAGTGTGTGTTGCACGCTTTTTAGAAACTGTTTCGGGATGGGTATTTGTAGTGTTCGAAATAGATACTGGATTTTAGGTATGAGTGTCATCTTTACCGCTGCTATGCGGCCTGTCCACGATAGAAATTTACCTCTCCACTTTTGTATGGTGTCTATGATTTCTGTTTGTATGCGCTCGTAGTTTAGTTTAAAAAGGTGTGCCGGGTTTTTGGAGAGTTTAAGTCCCAGGAACGTCAAATAATCGTTTCTCCAGTCCAGTGGGAATGCCGTCTGTAACCTGCCCAACAGGTCCGCATTGAGTCCCATCCCTAGGGCTTGCGTCTTGGTGATATTTAGCTTGTAGTATGAGACCTCCCCATATTCACGTATTTGTGCCATTAAATTTGTCAGTGATGTGAGGGGGTGTGTGATCGTCACAAGGATGTCGTCTGCAAAAAGGTTGA